ATTTCGGAACTGTTAAGTGGACTTAATTTTTATAGTTAAGCAAATTATACTCCCCTTTCAAGTAAAAATCTCTTGAAATTCAATACAGGCTATAATTGTAGATTTTATAGACTTCATGAAGCACAAAATATGTAGTATTGTGATAATGACAGTAATTATTCAAAAACAGACGTGCTAAAATAGTCTGACACTGTAAAAGGGGATTAGTTGACTTTAAAAAGCGAGTATAATTTGAATGATTATAAAAATTGAGTCAACTTAACAATTTAAGTTGCAGTGGGTTTACTCACATTATTTGTAAAGTCAACTTGTTGCTCTAAAGGGAATTGGTTTACTCGCTTTAAGGAACGGATCACTATTTACAGTAATCAGTTAATTAAATACCTCATCATTACTTCAACTTAAATGGAGTAAGTTCACAGTACTCATATACAGTTGAAGTCAGATTTATTAGCGCCCCTGAATTATTATCCACCCTGTTTATTTTGTCCACAATTTCAGTTTAACAGAGTTTTTTTTCCCTACACATTTCTAATCATAATAGTTTTAATAACTCATCACTAATAACTGATTTATTTTATCTTTGTCATGATGACAGTAAATTATATATTTCAAGACACTTCTTTACAGCTTAAAGTGACGTTGAAAGGCTTAACTAGGTTAATTAGGGTAACTAGGTTACAGTAATTAAGCAAGTTATTGTATGACGATGGTTTGTTCTGTAGACTGTGGGAAAAAAATGTAGCTTAAAGGGGCTAATAATTTTGACCCTAAAATGGTGTTTAAAAAAATTAAAAACTGCATTTATTTTTGCCAAAATAAAACAAATAAGACTTTTTCCGGAAGAAAAAATACTATCAGACATATTGTGAAAATTTCCTTGCTCCATAAAACATAATTTGGGAAAAAAATAAAATAAATAATTCAAAGGGGGCATGAATAATTCTGACTTAAACTGTAGATTTGTTTTTTAACTGTAAAAATCGGTTTCCTTAAATGGTTTGAGTTACCTTAACTTATTACAGGGTTACATTTTTCATTGTCGGCTTAGTCCCTTTATTAATCCGGGGTCGCCACAGCGGAATGAACCGCACTTATCCAGCTTGTTTTTTTACGCAGCGGATGCCCTTCCAGCCGCAACCCATCTCTGGAAAACATCCACACACACATTCACACACACATTCATACACTACAGACAATTTAGTCTACCCAAATCACCTGTACCGCATGTCTTTGGACTGTGGTGGAAACCGGATCACTCGGAGGAAACCCACGCGAAGGCAGGGAGAACATGCAAACTCCACACAGAAACGACAACTGAGCCGAGGATCGAACCAGCGACCTTCTTGCTGAGAGGCAACAGCACTACCTACTGCGCCACTGCCTCGCCCAGGGTTATATTATTACTACTAAAATCCAATGACTTTCCAGGACTTTTCCAGAACTTTTAAGTACATTTTCATGATCTAATGTTTCATGTAATGTCTGTGTATACATGGTAAATAATAAGAAAAACAATGCACCTTATAGTATATCTTAAAACATGCGACAATCTATTTAGTTTAAATTAATCTTTATATCTACAGTTGAAGTCAAAATTATTAGCCCCCCTATTTATTTTTTCTGTTTAACTGAGTGAAGATTTTTTTCAACACATTTCTATACATAATAGTTTTAATAACTCATTTCTAATAACTGATTTAGTTTATCTTTGCCATAATGACAGTAAATTAACTTTACTAGATAATTTTCAAGACACTTCTATACAGCTTAGTGACATTTAAAGGCTTAATTAGGTTAATTAAATTAACAGTTTAGGTTAATTATTTTATGATGGTTTGTTCTGTAGACTATCAAGAAAAAATGTATAGCTTAAAGGGGCTAATAACATTGACCATAAAATGGCTTTCAAATTTTCAAAAAAAAAAAAAAAAAAATGATTTTATTCTAGTCAAAATAAAATAAATAAAGACTATAAATATTATCAGACATACTGTGAACATTTCCTTGCTCTGTTAAACATAATTTGGAAAATATTTTAAAAAATTTATTACAATGTAAAGTAGGGCTAACAGATCTGACTTCAACTGTGTGTAAAATGTAGTTAGATAATGCTCACACAGCACTAATAATGTGGGAGCATAAGTTTGGCCACAGACAGAAAAGAAGACAACTATCCCTTATTTAAGTATACAGATAATTATTAAACTGTTTCCATGACTTTTCCAAAACTTTGCGGGCTTTTCAGGTTTTCCAAAACTTTTCCAGGCCTGGACAATGCCATGTCAAAATTCCTCTTTTCCAGGTTTTTCATGACCGTATGAACCCCGTTATTGGGTTTTACAGTACTCAGTTGGTTTGAGTTCTCTTCGTTTATTTACACAGATGGATTCACAGTACTTATTAGAATTAGTTTGTGAACCTAAATGGTTTGTGCAAACAGTTTCCTCAAATGGCTTGAGTTACCTTAACCTTTTGGGTTTTACAGTGTGACTATTTTCAATTTCATAAGGGGGCTTTTAAAGCATGGATGTTTTAATGTAATTACAATACATTCCGTTAATTAGACTTAAGCATTCATTTAGTCGTTCAAGCATAAAACGAGATGAAAGACTGTATAACAGATAGCGCCGTCAGGATCAGCAGGAGAGCGAAAGAAACTCTATTGAAGATACTGGGGTAAACAAACTGTCATATTTAAAGACATGGCGGGGGGAAATGAGATTTCATGCAGTGCTTCTTGTCACCCACTTCATATCATATATGTATCAGGCAGTGAAAATTACAGATTTTTAAAGTCGTCAGGTAATTTTATACTGGAAGACAGCTCACCGTAAGCGATGAAGCTGGCTGGCTGAAATGTAAAATCTATGTGCATATACCCCATTAATGATTGTAGTGTGAGCTTTCAGTATGTCATGAACTGAGCATCGATTTAACGTTCCTGTTGCGTTTGGGTCAAAACTTAAAACACTCAGAAATATTGTGTTTTACATCTGATTGCCTCAAGGCCTTATCCTCCACACTATGCACTTGAACATGTAAAATTGATGATCACCTCTTTCATTGAACTTTAAGTGTTTTAATCAACCTTGTTACACCCTTAGTGTTCCTGGTCAAAAGTGACCTCTCTACACTGTAAAAAAGATCTGTATTTTAAGGTTTATTTCCGGCGGCTGGGATGCCGGAAAAAAAAAAAGTAAAATAACGGATGTTTAATTACAGAATTGTACTGTAAAATAACGTATAATAAATTACAGAAATTTCCTTAAATTTAAACTTCTGGTAAATTTCTGTAATTTAATATCAGTTAATTTACTGTATATTTCTGTAATTTAATGGCCGTTTTTTAACTTTTTTTTTTTTTTCCAGCACCCCAGCTGCCGGAAATAAACCATAAAATTACGGGGTTTTTTTACAGTGTAGGAAATGAATGGGTATCCAGACTATATTCAACCATTAAACAGAAAACACACTCACACTCACATTTCAGACTGAACAATGTCTTTTGTGGGTACATATCTCTTTCTGTGCTTATTTGTGCCTCCCCACGTGATTACTCCCATGACATGTTTATTTTGTAATACATTTTCAGAGCCTATTTGTACAGTTGCAATCAGGTTTATTAACGCCTTTGTTTATTTTTTTCCTCACATTTCTGTTTAACAGAGATTTTTTTTTTAACACATTTTTAAACATAATAGTTTTAATAACTCATGTCTAACAACTAATTTCTTTTATCTTTGCCATGATGACAGTAAATATTTGACCAGATATTGTTCAAGACTCCTCTATACAGCTTAAAGTGACATTTAAAGGCGTAACTAGGTTAATTAGGTTAACTAGGCAAGTTAAGGTAATTAGGCAATTTATTGTGTAATGATGGTTTGTTCTGTAGACCAGAGGTTCTCAAACTTTTCAGCCCGCAACCCCTAAAATAATAACACCAGAGACTCAAGACCCCCTCTATGCTCAGAGGTGGTTATAAGCATACTGATATTGCACACAATGGTGCACACACCAATAGGAACTATATAAACAAGCTTATTGACGACACAAAAAAAGTGCAGCAAACAATATTTTATAATCGTTTTTCATTTGTTTAATTTAATATTAATCTCACTTAATGAGAATGGTGAGCACAATGTTTATAGCACAAGACTAATCTTGGTTTAATTTTGGAGACTTGGAGCCACCTGGAGATCCTCCTTGTTCAATCGTGGCCTTTTTTTTAAATGTATGCGAGTGCCATAAAGGTCTCAAAATGTAATATTGTATCGTAAAAAATGTCTGCTGCAACTAACGCTATTGCTGGGATGTTAATCTAGCATCAGGGGACACCAGGAGTCACAATCCAATGGGAAAAAAATTGAAAGGCTGATGACTTTTTTTTTTTTTATGCAACTATTAAATATTAAGTATATATTAAATATAAGTTAAATGTAATTAGCCCTAGTTTTTATATTGTGCAGCCCCCCAGGGGGTACTGACCCCCACTTTGAGAACTACGGCTGTAGACTATTGAAAAATTATAATAGTGGCTGATAATTTTGTCTTTAAAATGTTTTCTAAAAAATTAAAAACTGCTTTTATTCTAGCTGAAATAAAACAAATAAGACGTTCTCCAGAAGAAAAAATATTAACAAAATAAATAAATAAATAAATAAATAAATATTTCAATGGGGGGGCTAATACTTCTGATTGTAACTGTCTTTTCACAGCAGCTACTTTGTGTCTAATTCTTTAGGTCTAATTCTAGTGAGACATTATTCACAGCTAACCAATGCTTTTTCAGCAAATCGAGAACACTAAAGTAAGAGGCAGGAGGTGAACATGACAGGAGGGTTCATTCTTTCTGACATTTTTTTGATCATATAAACTGTAGTCTAAACATTTTACTGTATGTCCTAAATAATGGAAAAAACCAATAAAATATTGGATAAAAACACCACATTTAACCCTTTTCGTTTTGTCTGAAAATGAAATCAGCAGCACATTCATTTCTGTAATTTTAACAATTAAAACTTTATTGGAATGATACATGTTGCAAAATATTATTCTGTGAATTTTTTTTATTTTATTCTTTTTTTGTCGTTTTTAAACATACTCGATGTGTCCTACGGGTATCCGTCAACTTCTCCAGAAGGTAAAATAATTAAGACTGTTAAAGGCAGAGAATATACAGTATTGTTTCCCGAAAAAAGGTACAATAGACTACACCATCACCATACCCATGTCGGGAGGAAAGAGACTCCTGTTATTGAAAATACACTTAGAAAATATGCAAAAAGTAAATCAAATGTTTTCTTCATGATCTCCTTTTTTTAAAAAGCAAATAGAAGAGTGTAGGAAACTGGATGTGTACAAAGGCAAACTGTATCATGGACTGATGCGCACACACACACTCGCACACACGCAAAAAGATGATTGACAGTCAGTGTAAATGAGCAGATGAGTGTGAAACTGGAGTGACACCCACATATCTGAAAGCCAGGCAGACAGAGGGATGACTATCGGCAAGAGTGTCACGTATTTTCCATGCTCTGACCGACAAAAATTAAAGTGTGTAATGAAAGGTGCATTTGAGCCGTCATCTCCAGCCACCCATTTAAAACACTGCCATCTTAAGACAAACCCTTCAAATAAATCACGATCAAGCTCGAAGATGAGGGGAAAGCTCACACGAAAACCTGTACATTAGAACTCATTATATGCACCAGTTGAGGATAGTCTCAAGTTGCTTCTTCGAGAGCCTGCTGGGTAATCTAAAACGCAACAGAAGCAATCTATGAACACTGATTGTTTTTCGAAGCCGTAAGATGAAGCCGTTTCTCCTACAAACGAGGAGAGCGAATCTGCCAGCAATAGTCGAGAAGCAAGGATGACAAAACAGCAGCCCATTTCTAAAAAGGTACTTAAGCACCTATAATGATTAAAAACGGGTACGTTTATGGCTGCGATCCTGGCAGGTTGCGGTGACTTGTCGATGTAAATGAACAAACACTATATGATCATTAAGGGATGGTTCACCCAAACATGAAAATGACCTTACCAGAAACTGAAATCACTCTCCTTTCTTCTGTTAAACAGAAAAGTAGATATTTTGAAGAAAGTTGGTGGCTTCTTCAAAAGCTGTGTAATATATACTTCTGTGTTCAACAGAAGAAACTAAAACTGGTTTTGTACGAGTAAATGATAGCAGAATTTACATTTTTGGGTGAACTACCCTTTTCTATTCGGTGTGAGATTGAGAACTCCAATACTAAAATGCATACAAAGTATAGCTCGAAACATATTTTTAACCTGGCACTAATCGTTTGTTGCAAACATTCAGCAAAATTAAGTTACACTAGTCATCATAAAAAAAGAAAACGTAACAAAACCAAAGATTTTGATTAATCGCACTGCTAGAATTTTCGTAAATTTCAAATTTTCCTTAATTGCGTTCCATTAGAAGAATGAAAACTCGCAAAAGCTGTCAGAATCAAATATAGCGTTCTTTCTGTTTGGTTACACCATCAAAATGAGGTTTACTTTAGTGCCCCTAGTGGCAGACGAACCACACTTCTCCTTTAACAACTAATATATTCTTTGAATCAACAACAAAATAAAATCTTTGAAACGCACTACACAATATTGCACACATCTGAAAAAACTAAACAATCATGGGGACGTGTTTTCAGATTGTCTTGTGTCCTACAAAAAACAAGATAGAAAGCAAACTCAATTCAATAAGCCGAATGAACGGAGCTGGTTGCAATCTTAAAGAACGAATTAACAAAAAGAAAATGCTGTTCATTTACTGCCATTCATTAGAAAAGAGTGTTGGCTGAAATTCCAGGTTTTGATATCTTATTAAAGGGATAGATTACTATAAATTGAAAATTATGTCGCCATTTATTCTGTTTTACAACCTGACTTTTACAAAAGACTTTCTTCTGATGAAAACAAAAGAAGATATTTTGAAGAATGATGCACATAGTCTTCCAATTATATAGAGGGGAAAAATATTATATAGAAGTCAATGGGTGCCAGCTACTAGCAACATTCAATGTATTCTTTTTTTTTTTTTAATCAAAAGAAAGTTGTACAGGTTGTAAAACAGAGTAAATAACAGCAGAATTTTTAATTTTGGGTGAACTATCCCTTTAATAAGATACCAAAAACTGCAATTTTAGCCATAGTTCACCCAAAGTTGAAAATTCTGCTATCATTTACATGTTTTACAACTTGTATGATGTTCCTCTGATGTAAACAAAGTAAGTTACTTTGAATGTTGCTAGTAGCTGGCACCCATTGACTTCTTTAGCATTTTTTCCCCTACACTGGAAGACTATGGGCACCATCCTCCAGCATTTTTCAAAATATCTTCTTTTGTGTTCAACAGAAGAAACTCAAATAGGTTTAAAACAACATTTACATGAATTACATAAATGAACAATATCATTTTTGCATGAACTACCCCTTTAAGTGAGCCATTACAAACACTTTCGAAGTCGTCATAAACATTCAGCAAAAATGAAATGAATCCATATGGCTCATGATGATACATTACAGTCTTATAAAGCAAAACAATCAGCCTGAGGCTGAAACTGAACACTATTTACAACATTACTACAACCTTTAATTGATGTAAACAAACAGTGTCAGCTTACATGAGAATAATGCGGCAGAAAACTCAGCTTCAGCAAACGGTTTGGGTTTAGAATGTTTTAAATAAGATTCAGTTTCCTGCACAGACTGATCATTTCGCTATTCCAGAGCCACAGGTATCTATTTTGTTTATCCTGTATATTCGTTTGACTTAAAAAAAAATAAAAAAAAGCCAATTGCCATTGATTTGATCAATTACCAAGGAATACAGCTTCAGCTTAAAATCTTCTTGTTCTGCTGAAGATTAACTACATTAAGTGCATTTTCTCAGTCTATATGAACAGCTAACTTTGTTTAAAGCAGAAATGGAGCTTGAATAGTGAAGCCTCAGAGAAGTTAAATTCATTGATAACCCACCAAACTTTCAAACAACTTGACTAGGCTGTTTAGAAGAGGGTTATTCTGTTTTCGGTAAGTTGGCCACTGGCAGGTGACATGGCAGAAAACTATATATAATAAAACAACATCATAATCCATCAGAAACCCAGTGTAACCACAGAAACAGTGCCTTCCTTTAACAGATTTAGTTTTCCTTAAAAGCGTCATTTTTAAAAACGATCATCTGCATCACAAACCTTTGTGCTTGAACTATATCTTACATTTTATGTTCACCGATTTCTGAAAAAAATGTACCTTAGAATTAAGCAAAACTTAACAAACGGATGAAATAATGGATTTGGAGCATCGAGAATGCTCATACATGCTACAAATCTGCAATATAAAGTAAGTTACGGTTTCATCCGTGGCCGCTTTTTGAAGACAAACCACATTCCATCACTATGACAAGATTTTTAGGACTTGAAATACACGAAGCTAATCAATCCAAATCAAGTATTTTTATATTAACCGGCTGATTCTGCCTGATCTGAGAGCACTGCAGGAAACTGTACCAAATTAAAGGGATAACACACACAAAAAGAAAAATCTTCCTCATGTAGTTGAAACCTTTCTTCGGTTGAACACAAGATATTTTCAAGAAATACCCATCAAAATGCTTCCATAGAAGTTTACTACTCCTCTACTATGGAAGTCAATGCGCGCCAGCAACCAGAAGTCTTCAAAATGTAATCTTTTGTGCTCAATGGAAGAAAGAAATGGCAGATTTGATTTTTGTGTGAACTATCCCTTTAATACATGATGATAAATGATAGTGTGATGCTTGAAATCCAAATCGGAAATGGGTGATCTCTCGAAAACAAAACTCCTGCACAAGTTTCAGTTGGTTTGATTTGGTATTGAGTGCCAATATGTGCATTGGAAATTAAAATAATGAAAAGAATATGTGAAAGAGTGGATAACTACAGAGCAAGGACACCTTTGCTAATTAAAAAAAAATTGAAGTAATATGGGGTAATTTTCTCTGGAGAAGCCAAAATTCAGTACCAGAAAGTAACCTCTATATCTCTGGAGAAAAAAACAAACAAACAAAAAAAAAAGTAGTCACAAATATCCCCATGCCAGCCAGTCCCAGAGAGGTGACTGAATCTCTGCCCAATGGACCCTGGCTACCAAACAAGAGGGAAAACATGAAAATGGACAAGTAACAAGTGACGAAGGATCTGAAAAGGCAACACCGCTGGCGTCTCTCTCTCTCTCTTTATCTCTCAGGACTCCTATTCTCCCTCCGTCTGTGTGTGAGGGCTTTGCGTTGTTGTTACCGAATACAGGCTCAGTCCAGTCCATCATCCCAACCTGGAAAACCTCATCCTTGTCTTCTTCTTCTCTCTGTTGCCCCACGTCTAATCTCTCTCCATGCCTCTCCTCCACCGCTGCTGCTGCTGCTTCTAGAATTCAGCAAACTCCTTTCCACATTTCTCCGTGATAGAGACCCGGATTTCTTCCTCGTCGTAGTCGTCGAAGTTGCTGGTGTCCCCGGGGCCTTTGCACTTAGGGATGAACGGGGCTTCCACCTAAAAAACGCAAGATTATTACATTCATGTTAAAGATTTTAAGATGGTTGTAATCGTTATTTTCTGATACCAGGGTGGTTTTAAGTTTGAGGGAAAGGTGAGGGTAATGTATGAAGCAAAATCAACGCCAAAAGTATTAAAATAAAAAGCTTGTCGAATAGCATGAAAAAAAATATTGTTGAATTGACAAGTTCTTGCATTTTATTTTTTAAAGATTTATTTTTGGCCTTTTTTGCCTTTATTATTTGATAGGACAGTATTGAGATAGGAAGCGAAGTGGGAGAGAGCGAGGGGGTAGGAAAATGTCGTCGAGCCGGGATTCGAACTCGCGACGCCCTGACGTGCTATTGCACCATATGTCAGCGCGCTAACCACTAGGCTATTGCGCCGACAGTTCTTGCATTTTAATCAATTGAAATGCCAGGGTCTGTATTTTTAGGTCCTGAAATGTAACATAGATGTTTATTTAAGCTGTGAATATTTCAACTAACAATCTTTTAAACACACTTTCATATTTATAAATTCAATACTTCATATTCAACATCCAGATTTCACTTACAAAATATTCAGTTAAAAACATGATGTATAATATTCAAACTGCAATTTTCAGTTCATTTTATTTCAGTAAAAAATTTGCTTCCATAAATTCAGTGGTTTAAATTCAGCTGTTAAAATTCGACATTACATCCAGGAACTGCAGGAAAAGCACCAGTTTTGACCAGCAGATAGAGATTTAAGATTTTTAAACCAGTAAAAAGTCAAGAAAAAAAATTCTAAAAACAGCACAAAGCAGCATTTATTATTAATATCAACGTCTTGGTTATTATACATAATAAAATGACTATGAGTAAAATGAGTAAGAAGTTTTGGACATTTATTGCCCTAGTGTAACATAAGCCGGATGATGATCGCATTAATCTCACTTCTCCGATCTCAAGAGGTGATCCTGAGTCAAACATTTTTCTGCATTTGAGCATTTGTCCAGTATTGCTGGGACGTCTCTACCTGCTGGTAAAAATGTATGTTGAATTTTTACCAGCAGATAGTGTTGAATTTTAACAGCTGAATTTGAACCACAGAATTTATGCAAGCAATTTTTTTAACTAAAATAAAATAAACTGAAAATTGCGATTTGAATATTATACATCGTAATTTTTAACTGAACATTTTAGAAGTGAAATCTGGATGTTGAATATGAAGTATTGAATTTATAAGTATAAAAATGTGTTTGAAAGATTTTTAGCTGAAATATTCACAGTTTAAATAAACCACTATGTTACATTTCAGACCTATAAAAACCTAAAAATACAGACCCTGGCAATTTACGGTGTATCAGGAAAGTATTCCCAGCACTTTACTTTTTCCACATTTTTTTTATGTTACAGCCTTATTTCAAAATGGATTAAATTAATTTATTTTCTCAAAATTCTACACATAATACAGCATAATGACAATCTGAAAAAAGATTTTAAATTGTTGCAAATTTATTATGAGTATTTAAACCCTTTGCCGTGAAACTCAACATTGAGCTCAGGTACATTCTGTTTCCACTGATTATTCTTGAGATGTTTCAGCAGCTTAATTGGACTTCACCTGTGAACCCAATTCAGTTGATTTGAAATGGTTTGAAAATGTCTGATAATATTTTGCCTTCTGGAGAAAGTCTAATAAATAAAATAAAAGCAGTTTTTAATTTTTAAAAAACATTTTAAGTCAAAATTATTGGCCCCTATAAGCTGTATATTTTTTCGATAGTCTACAGAACAAACTATTATTATACAATAACTTGCCTAATTACCCTAACCTGCCTAGTTAACCTTATTAACCTAGTTAAGCCTCTAAATGTCACTTTAGGCTGTATAGAGGAGTCTTGAAAAATATCTAGTCAAATATTATTTACTGTCATCATGGCAAAGATTAAATGAATCAGGTATTAGAGATTAATTCAATTGTAGCGGTTTGTTTTGGTTTGATTTGGAATTTGAAAGTTTTTTTTTTTTTTGTGTGTGTGCGCGATCAATTCCTGATTCTTTGCATAATGTTTTAGATCAAAAGACAAATAATTTAATTCCTTTCGATGTGTTAAAATATTTGTTAAACAAATTTTATTGAAAAAAGCCATATATAAATATTAAAACTGTAAACAGAATAAAGTGCATCGTCTAATAAGAAAAAAAAAATTGTTATCTATTTTATAATTTAATGCAGGGGTGGCCAACCCTGTTCCTGGAGAGCCACTTTCCTGCAGATTTCAGTTGCAACCCATATCAAGCACACCTGAACCAATTACTTAGGACCTGAACACCACGTAAATACGCTAATTACAGGCAGGTGTGTTTAATATGGGTGGTAACTGAAATCTGCAGGTAGGTGGCTCTCCAGGAACAGGGTTGGCCACCCCTGATTTAATGCATAAAATAGGCAAGTCTTTTTATAAAACAAGTTTAATTGATCTGAAACTTTTCATTACATTTTTCTTTCTTGTAAATAATAAAAGTTGCCTCAGATGAAAACTACCTGAATAAGAACATGAACAGTGCCAAAATATTTTTTTTACATTGAAACAACTGGATACAGTGCCTTCTGTCTATTGATGGTGGGCCACTAATATCGTTATCGTGATAATAATATGAATAATCGTGCAGCCCTAATGGAAACATACACAACTAACAATAATCGTCACTGAATCGTCAATTGTTCTTTTGACTTATTGTCATTACATTTTTTACAGTGTAGCTATTGCTATTAATAACTTATGGATAAATTAAATTCTGTAAACACCCAAGTACAACTTTCTGGAGTTATTTTGGTTAATTATTGCAGTTGTTATCCCCATAGATTGCTTTGAATTATGTTTAAGAGCTAAACAATGATTGACAGTGAAGTTTTAGCTGCAGTGTTCTCTAGGTACCTTCTTCTGGTAGATTGCAATCCAGTCGGTGGTTGCAAACCATTTGTGGCCCTTGATGTCGTTGACGCCGTTCTTCAGGTTCCCGAAGCGTTTCGTCAGATCGACCTGCAGCAGGTTTCTCAGCAGATCCTTCAGGTCAGAGCTAAAATGTGAAGGAAAGCGGACCTGGAGAAGGATTAGGAGATGGTCAGAGTTTGGGACGCATCATTACTTACAAACAGAAATGACTTCAGAAACACTACAATCTCTTAGCACAACTCTAAATAAATCTAAATAGCTGAAAGCAACTTAAATACATATATAAAAAATATCTGACAATATATATATTAGAGCAGCACGATTCTGGCTAAAATGAGAATCGCGATTTTTTTTTTTGCCTAAAATAAAGATCACGATTTTCTCACGATTCTGTAGATGTAAAATGAAGGCGAATATAAGTGAAGTTGTACTGTTGGTTAAAATGCTTAATTTTGCATAGACTTGAAATGGTGGACTTGAACAGACTTTAGATTTGTCCTGGTCATTAATGCTGATGATAATCCTGATATTGAATTACACGTTTGAGACGTATGCTTACAATCTGTAATTGTCTGTTTAAAATCTGTCACTGACGTGATTTTCGTGAATACAGTAGATTGGGTGGGTATTCTTGCATTTCGGCGGGTTTTGGATACTTTTGGGGCTGGAATCAGTCAGCTACATCTGGCAACACTGTATGCACTTTCGGTTTCATTGCCACTGCTAAGAGCGGTTCACTTCCTGCGAGGCTCCCAAACGATCACTCTGTTTATATATATACATAAATAAATAAAAATTAGTGGTGGGCCGTTATCGGCGTTAACGTGCTGCGTGTGCTGATTAAAAAAAAAATATATCTGCTATGATCTATTCTCAAATTTGGGTTGGGAGCTGGGTCTGTTAAATGCAAGCTATGATGACTTTCACCTTGCTATTTTAGCACGGATGTATACCTGACCGAATTGCACTAGGTGGCAAGAACGAGTCTTCGAACCTCGGTGTATTTCTACTGAGAAATGTATATATCAAACATAATGTGCTAACATGGATGCAGTTCACTAGAGTAAATCTGATTAATGTTAGCTCCACATCTATCAGGCACCTGAAGAGTTTATGCGTTCGAGTAAAGCTTTTTAAAATTAATGATGGTGAATGAAAGTCAAACCAGTGAGCCATCTGACAAAAAAGTGCCTTTCTGAATCAAATCAGCAGGATGCCCTTCTGGATCTTTTATTTACTTCGAAGACACTACTGACTATGCTTACATGGACATCTGTAGTCTAGTTATTTGCCTTACAAGACAATAGTATAATTAAGGTGTTTACGTGAAGTGCTTTCATGTTAGAGTTTCCTGTAATTTTGGGTGACTGTAACTGCAGTTCGGCAATTTCACTTTTTTTCTTTGTTTTTTATTGGAAGAATATGTACAATTACAGAATGTTTGCAAATATATAAAAAAGATCCTTCACATTTTACTTATGCAAAAAATAAAATAAAAGAAATTAAAAGAAATTAAAACAAAATTTTTCCTTCTATAATTATTAGGTATAAGTGATTATATTACAACTACATGTCTATATGTATATATACATACACATACACATATATACACACAGACATAGGCACGTACATACAATTTTTCCCTTGGTCTATAAACACAATTTACAGAGTCTACCTATGAATATGTAAACCATTATCTGAATTGACAGAGAAAAAAACAAAAAGGCAATTTCACTTTTACTCATGAACATTTCATTTATGCCCCCGTATAAAACTGTTAAACATTAGAACAAACTGAACATTTATGTTAAACATTAAACAAACTGAAATTTAATAACGCACACCAATTGGAAAGAAAAAAAGTCTGCATTACGCGATGTGTGTGGTCCTTTGATGACTGTCGCGTGTGTGGATCTTGTTGGAAATTATGGCGAAAAAATCCTACATGGCGGTGTTTACTAATCGCGGCATTTACTTCAATAATGCCACTTATATGTGCATACTCCACATGTCCTAATTCCATTTCTGTTTAGTTCAGTTATGACGTTGTTTGGAGCTTCTGTAGGCCTACAGTTCAAAATTCATGTTTAACTGAATAAACTGAATAAACAGTAAGCAAACACAAGTACATCTTATTAAACATCATTTATTTTCATGACCAATTATCATAGAACAGTTTCTCAAGCAGTTTGTGATGCATTTTGGAAACAGTAGATGAGCCCCTGGTCTAATGCACCACCTGGCTTGAGAAACCCATTCTCAAAGACTGACTTTTAGTCATTATTTGGGTAGCACACATATTCTGAATGCCTTGGCAGAATTCAAATGAGCCATTTTAATCTAGAATAATTCCAAGATTACAGCGAGATTAATCAATCAAATTATCTATGCCCACCTATAATATATATATATATATATATATATATTACATTTTAGTTAACCATTTTTTATGCATTTCAGCTTTAATGCTTACTATAATACTATTGGCAAGACTACTACTTTAAAAAAAAAAAAATTATTGTTTTTAAAGATCTTTATTAGCAATTTCAGCTTTATTTCAAATAAAACACAAGTTACAAGTTTAGCTGACAATTTTGTCTCTTCTGCACAATGCTAAACAGCCATTATACAGTGACATTCAGTATCAGTGCTCACCTTCCCGGAGACAATTTTCTCGTAGATCTGGATAGGCTGGTCAGCAAAGAATGGCGGGTAACCAGCAGCCATCTCGTAGATCAGCACTCCCAGAGCCCACCAGTCCACAGCTTTATTATAGCCCTAGCACACAGACAGAGCAAGGGTTACATGATGGAGGCTCATCTTGACTTGCAGCACTAGCACATATGGCAGCTCTGGTGCTCACTTTACTGAGGATGATTTCTGGTGCCAGGTACTCAGGTGTGCCACACAGTGTCCAGGTCCTGCCCTTTACACGTTTAGCAAATCCAAAATCTGTTACCTGAGGTAAAAAACAAAAAACAAAGATAAATATAAGTAATTTTTCATGTCATCCAGGACCACAAAACTAAATGTTTATTTGACATTTATAATCATCTGAAAACTTATAAATAAGCTTTTTATTGCTGCATAGTTTGTTAGCATAGGACTTTATTGACCTGTTCCCACTGAGTGGTACAGTATGTTATGGTTCAGTATGCTTTTCTGCCGTTTCCATTGTCAAAAGGTACCAAAAGAGAACCATACTTTACCACTTTTTGGGTACCCTTTCCCAAGGGTATGGGTCAAACAAACAATGTCGTCGTTGTCTTCATGAACAGCCCAAAGCCAAGAAGAGCAGAATCTACCCTGTGCCCCGTTGCTGTTTACAAGGCTGTCTAAAGCGCGAGCGGTTTCACTTTCTCACGTGCGGTGGCCTCACATCTACTTTTTAAAATAACAAACTTCTTGAGCTGATGATAATATCGTGTGCATGTTTATTGAAGTGCTGCTGACATCCGATCCTTTAGGAAATGGACAAACGTGAGAGTGACGCGTGAAAAAAAGGAGCTGAAAACAACAAAGGAGTAAATGATTCTTTTCAGCAACTTAAAACATGAACATACTGCCATGTTTAACTATTATCATCACCTTTTGGACTATTATAAATTCAGAATTTCGGAATTACTTTTTAACAAGCGGTTACATGTGCTAGTGAGGATTACAGACACAGATGAGAGGTTTGCACTGACTGTGGGCTATATGTTAATTGTTGTTTTTAAACCCAAATAAGAACTAAATGTATGCTGTGTATAGTTTTTTTCTGTAAATGGTAACATTTCAGAGACTGTAAGGGGCTGTATGTGTTCATATATGTTGCATTTATTTATTTATTTTATATAAATGCAGATGTTACAGTAGGCTATTTCATTGATCTGCAGTAATAATCAAATCCTGTTCATAGAAAGGTTAGTAATGAAGATTTATACACCATTGGTACCCTTTTGGCAGTGGAAACACAAGCCTGATAAAGGTGACGCGTACTGACCCATACCATAACGTACCACTCAGTGAAAATTAATCATATTTGGTCAAGATAAATACTATATGAAACTATATGAGATCTGGAATCTCAGAGTTCAAAAATAAATAAAAGGTAATGAGAAACTCACTTTTAAATTATGTTCTTATCAATAAATATTACTAATCAAAAATTTCATTTTTGATATTTACAGTACATTTATAAAACTATGCTGTATCATCTTTGCATCAAACTAGAAAAAAATTGCTTAAGAGGAGTTTCTAATGAAGCGTCTATGAGCGTGAAAGTAAATTTGGTATTGTTCTCTATTCTGGATGTCATTATCAGGCTCACACATTTTTTTAAAGTTACGAAAATACTATGGTGGAGTTTACGCACGCACGCACACACACACATATACACATAGATATATTCTTTCACCGTAACTCTGGGTTTTGTGTACATTTTGCTAAAACACATTGTTTTTCTTAAAGTGAATAATGAATCTGTTTAAGTTAATCAACTGAAAAAAGTGTTTGTTTTGGTATATTTCAATGAAAATTTGACCATTAGTTTTTTCTGTTGGCTTGGTGGTCCTTCTGTTGACGTTAATTTGAGGGGTATCATATCAACAGCATATTAATACTAGGCATGGGACCATAACTGTGTTTAAGACATACCGCGATTTGGAAAACGCGGTATACTGCGGTTTGGGAAGATAACAGTGTTAAAGGTTTATCACAGTTTTAAAACCATCAAAATTATCTGCTATACCGCTCCTAAGGTATGAGTAAGATTTTTTATTTACATTTTTTGTTTGTTTTTTTAGGACAACAGCATCTCCAACAAAAAAGATGCCATTTTAAATTGTAAAAAATTTTTTAAAAATCTGTGTTTCTGAAAAAAATGACGACAGCAAAAGTCAATAATTCATTTAGCCTGACATGTTTACGGTTCCAAAATATTTTGAATGTTTCTCAAATTAAAACATATTTACTAAAATGGGGGAAAAGGTTTTGTTTTTCACCCAGACATTTAAAAAGAATATATTTTAGAGCAGTAATCTCAAAACCGGTTTATATCCAATTTATATCCAAGATTATCATACCGTCAGAATCTTATACCGGCCCACGTCTAATTAATACCGTCTCTGATTGTTAGTTTTCAATGAGCGAATGATGCGCATAAAAATCCTGTCTGCTACTTATCATTCCATTTAATTAGGAAGTACATCAATGTACTGCAATAAAAGACTTCCAATTCGCGCAGACTTTGAGTTCAGCCATTGTAACCTAATTGTATCTAGATTTTTCTCATTAATTTTCAATGATTTTTAACTGTAAAAAGAGATTTGCTTAATGTAGCAAGCTAGTATTTTTATTATATTATTTTTATGTTTAAATTTTGTCATAAAATTGACAACAGAATAAGTATAACTATTTACTGCTTTTTCTTATTCTACTCATTACCCTAAAAATCCATCTGAATTTATAAAACAAGCAGTGGTGCAGTAGGTAGTGCTGTTGCGTCACAGCAAGAAGCTCAGCTGGGTCGGTTAGCATTTCAAGCAAATTCGTACTTCCGGTTTAAAACGAATTTTTGAAGCTGCATCACGGTCATGACATAATAGCGTTGTATTCCAGCGTGCAGACTGGGCGTCTGTGCCAGAGTGTGTCTTATTACGTCTTACAGTGTGTTGCATTAATGCATGAGTAAGGCTTGGTTCAAACCAATCAGCGCGCTCTATTGTGCAACTTCATTAATATTCATTGCCGTCATAGTGTAGACGGCAAAGACGCCACTTTGTGTTGGCAAAACAAGCGTGAAGTGTTGCTTTTATAGTTTGCTGCAGTTAAGTTTCGTTTTCATTTTCTCTCTGTGAGAGCTCAGACTTACGCGTGGATTACAGTGTACGCGACGCTCGACAACAATAACATACGTGTCTAAGGAGGATTATTGTTTACCTGAGAGCTGTTCTCATCTGCAAACGCTGAGATCCAGATTCGCTTGTAGTCTCCTCTAAATAAAGACGCGGCTCTAGTTGCTGGTGATTGTCCTGTATCTACAGATTTGGTAAGTGAGTGACCAGTACTCTTTGTTTATTCAGTTCGTATTTTATTCGTATCAAACAAACTATTGCACCGAGTGCAATAGTTAGCACTAACAGTTACAACCAAACTATAACCTCGTGTTGGATTTTGTGACCGGAATAACACAGCGGCTTTCTGACGCTACCTGCCGTATGTATCTAAGTCTCCGGGAAATACTGAGTTTTTTTTTCTCTCATTCGCCGTGCGGTATCAAACATTGCATGAAAAATACACGCTTAGAGCAGCGCCTCGAATCAAAAATCACGTTTGTCGGGAGGGACATTAATAAATTCCCTGAATGAAAGAGCCAAACTGCAGTTAAAGTCCACCATTTAATAATTTGGCAAATAATTCGACTACAGATGTCCATGTAAACACAGTCACATTGTCCACTGTGGGTGTGTGTTTTGACTCTGAAATTCAGCGCCCCCAAATAGACACTCCCATACCAAGCCTCTTTTCTTCCTCCGACACTCCCCCCTAAACAGAGCTAGACACGCCCACTTTTCTGACTTTTTCCAAAGTAGAGGTGTGAAAACACACTGCTGAAACGAGGGGGTTTCATGGCCCTTTAATTTAGTTCCGAAACTAATTTAATTTAGTTTCTAGACATCTGCTTTAAACATGCTGTTCTAAGAAGCATTAAAAATGACCCAGTGAGTTTATATAAGTAGATAAGGCTTACATATTAAAAAAAGGCAAAACAAAACTTCATTTTGTTGACTTGATGGGGACTTTAAATACAGCAAAAAAAAAAAAAAAAAGGAAATATTATTGTAAATATTATTTACACTAATGTTTCCAGAAGTCTGTTGCTAGTGGTGCCTTTTTCGATGACTTTCGAAAGACTAAAATAAATGATTGTTGTAAAAGTGACGTCATATTTTTCATACACAACACAGGCTGAGAAGAGTCAACGAATCATATAATGGCATAATGATTATCATAACTGATAAAACTAATGTGCACTTAACTATTGAAAACCACTGTGTGATCTTATACACAAGGAGGGTGCTAGCAGGACATTAACTTTGAATTCAATTCATCTTTATTTCCATAGCGCTTTTACAATGTAGATTGTGTCAAAGCAGCAAACACGGTGTCATTAGCTAAAGTGATCTGGTGTGTTTACCTGTATGTAGCCCTGCTGGTCTATGAGCAGGTTTTCAGGCTTCAGATCTCGGTAGATGAGATCGAGTGAGTGAAGGTATTCAAAGGTCAGAACTATTTGGGCGGCGTAAAATCGGGCATGAGGCTCACTGTAGTGGACAGAGACAAACAAACAAAGTAAATACACAGAGGTCAGAGGACATGCATTTGGTAATTGCACAAGAAAAACAACTTTTTTTAAACAGTTCTACACGAGGCAGGCCTGGAGCATGACATATAAAAGAATATTGATGATCTGAAATTCATCTGATGCTATCTCTAAATATCTAAAGTTGCATATAGAGGTCATTTTAAGTTCGACATCAAAATACACTCACCGGTCACTTTATTAGGTACACCTCATTCGTACTGGGTTAAACCCCCTTTTGCCTTCAGAACTGCCTTAATCTTTTGTGACATAAATTCAACAAGGGACTAGAAATATTCCTGAGAGATTTTGGTCCATATTGACATGATAGCATCACGCAGTTGCTGCAGATTTGTTGGCTGCACATCGTTCCACCACAACTTAAAGGTACTCCATTGGATTGAGCTCTGGTGACTGTGGGGGCCATTTGAGTACAGTGAACTCATTGTCATGTTCAAGAAACCAGTCATATGATTCATGCTTTATGACATGGCGTGTTATCCTGCTGAAAGTAGCCATCAGAAGATGGTCATAAAGGGATGAACAGGGTTAGAAACAATACTCAGGTAATGCTGAGTTTGTACTAATGGGCACAAAGAAAATATTATTAACAAAATATTAACACTATTACACCCCCAAAACAGCCTTAAACATTAAAACTAGGCATAACAAATTCTGATGGATTCATGCTTTTATGTTGTTGAAGCCAAATTCTGACCCAACCATCTGAATGTTGCAGCAGAAATCAAGACCCATCAGACCAGGCAAGTTTTTCCAGTTTTCTATCGTCCAATTTTGGTGAGACTGTGCGAACTGTAGCCTTAGTTTCCTGTTCTTAGCTGACAAGAGTAGCACTTGGTGTGGTCTTCTGCTGCTGTAGCCCATCTGCCTCAAGGTTGGACGTGTTGTGCGTTAAGAGATGCTCTTCTGCAGACCTCAGTTGTAACAAGTTATTCGAGTTACTGTTGCCTTTCTATCAGCTCGAACCAGTCTGGCTATTCTTCTCTGATCTCTGGCATCAACAAGGCATTTGCACCCACTAAACTGCCCATTTGAACTTTTTCTGACCTATCTCTGTAAACCCTAGAGATAATTGTGTGTGAAAATCCCAGTAGATCATCAGTTTATAAAATACTCAAACCAGCATGTCTGGCACCAACACCATGCCATGTTTAAAGTCACTTAAAACCCTTTTCTTCCCCATTCTGATGCGCGGTTTGAACTGCAGCAGATCATCTTGATCATGTGTACATGCCTAAATGCACAGAGTTGCGGACGTGATTGGCTGATTAGAAATTTGTGTTAATGAGCAGTTGGAAAGGTATACCCAATAAAGTGGCCAGTAAGTGTACAATTACATTACTGATTTTATAGGAGAGAGTGTTCAGCTTTATTGCCATATCAGTCTATTAATAAATATCGTTTCCATAACAATAAAAAGACATTAATACTTATAAATAAAAAATAAGATGTTGTCCAGCTTTTAAGACTTGCACTGATACAAATTCAAATTTTTTTTTAAAGGATTCACAGTGCTTCCCACATATTGACTGTACTTGGACGGGCCTCCCAGGTATATTAACAGCCGCCCAAGTGTATTTAGTGATGCTTTTTTTAGTACTATTAACATCCTTTTACACTTTGTATTCGCTCAATATAACTCAACATTTGCGATTTAGTAATGAAAACACATTACCAGTTTCGTCTAGACAGTTTCACATGCTCTTCAGACCCACAGACCCATGGATTTTTGGGACTATTCGCCCCACCAGAGTTTCTAAATCTTCTATAATGGCCGAAATTCAACTTCTGCTTTTGCTCTCTAAAGCTCGTATGCGTTTTTCCATTACTCTTTTATTAAAGACTACTTTCAACCTGGTTTCACAGCTGACAGCGCACACACAGCAGATGTACAGAGAGAAAAAGTAAATAATAGACTCATTATTCTAAAAGACTCAGAAAAACTTTACTATATGCTCGGAGAGGACGAAATGACATCTAAACTGGCTGCAAAATATATGTACACAATTAGTAATGGGTAATCATACATTTGCCTAACTTAAAAAAATCGACTTGTTAAATCTTGCAATTATGATACCTCTTAAAGATACTGTCTGTTTTATTAAGTTTTGTTATTTATTTTTTATTTACTAATTATTTTATGAATTTGTTGATCTTATTATATTACATAGGCTATTTTATATACAAATCTAAAATGCTTTGGCATTCAAATTTGCTTTGGACGAAGCAGATTTGACCTGTCAGTGGGTGTTTATGGCTCCTGAATAGCATAAAAGTATATTTTTTTCAGTCTTTTTTTTCTTCAAACCATTGAAAAGAAACTGTGTCATAAAAAATACTATTATAAAAAAATGAAATTATGTTATGTTTGTTGCATATAGTTTACTACTTATATGATGTGGGTAAAGGATGTTTACCCACAAACATTTGAAAAAATGATTATTATTATTTTTTTAGTTCCCAGGTTCTGCAGGTTGCAATGTCCCGAATTCTGCTTGCCAATCTTAAGCCAATTGTAATTAATTGTTTTGGTTCAATTTAGAATTTCCCCAACGAGCGAAGAGCCCGGGGAAACCAGATTAGCCGCGTTTCCACTATCGCGCCTAAAGCGAGCGAGCCAGGGCGAGCCAAGGGCCTAATCGGGCCAAAGCGGGGCTTTCTTGGGGCCAGCGGCCGGCCTTTTTCGGCCCGCCGAACACCTTGGGCCAAGGAGGGCCAGCTGGGGCTTCGGGGCGGAGTGAAAGGAGAGGCGGGTAGTTTTCTGATCGCACATGAGTACATGCGCAAAACAAATAAATAAATAAGGGAAAGAAAACATCTAGCCTTATAGTCTGGGGTCTTTTTGCGTATGATCGCCCTTATGTTTCCCTTTTAAATGTAAGGCTGCTGCATAAAATAATAAAGTAGATTTAATTAATAGTGACGTTCTTTGCTGCGTCCTCCTTTATGTTTCAATAACGCATAATAATCATTACACCATATTAAAGACACAGCAGACAATAAAGGTTTTCGAGAGTTTTTGTAAAGTTTAAAAGGTGTGTTTGTGCGCATTTAAATGCCTGTATGTGTGTGTGAGACCGGGCAAGAGCGCTCCTTCACAGCTCTGTTGATGCAGCGAGCGGCTTTTTTCTTTATTTATTTTGGAGCTAATACACAATATAAATACAACAGAAAGACATAAAACTTAACAAATTACGTGCCCACTTTTGTAGACTTTAAACAATATAGTGTCATTTCTTGATAAAATAGCCTAAGCTATATTGAAATATAATTTAAAGAATTGCAATATCGGATATATATAAAATCGCATTAAATAAATTAACCATTATAAAATAAACAAAAGCTAGCTATAACAATGTAGGTAGCCTATATACAATACATAAATCAAACCGTTTTAAAGTCACATATAGCCTAACTTTCATTTTACAAAGACCTGTCTGAAAAAAAAAGATTTTAGATATTTTCTAAAAATAATAAACACCGGAGAAGGTTTGAAATATTATTTATAAAGTATTTGGATATGATGATATAAATCAAATCGCGCAAACAGAGCATTATTTGGGTGAGTGAATGCAGAATAGCCTACATTTTTTTTCTGTCACCCAGTCCTGCGCAGCGCAGCTTTAAACGCATTAGGGGAAAGTCCAAACACAAAATGTGTTCTATATCCTCAAACAAGTGTTTATGTTTTTATATGATGAGGTTAAATTTATAAATGAAACTTTAAATGAAGAGCTTTAGTGAATAGCTGCTGAGCGCAACAAATATGGCTATATTTTATTAGGCTCTTTTGCTGAAACACTTTTCACGATGTCTATCAAAACGAGATATAAAAATACATGGAAATACAGTTATAAAATACATGGATATATATATGTGTGCGCTCACTGTGATGGGTCGCTCCCTTAGTGGCGAGAGCGCTCAATGCACAATGCCAACAGTCAGTCGGTGAGTAAACAAATGTAATGAATGTAAATACACAGGTCTGTGCGTATAATATAATGTACTGCTGTACAGTAACGTGTCATTTGTTTGTTTCAGTTGTCTTCATTGTAATGGTTTCGTTTCATGATGATTATATGGTGTGTTTTATCTGCTTGATTACCGCGGAAGTGGGCGGGTTGTGTGACGTTTGATTCGGGGACGTTCTGTGGGCGTTGTTTGCGTGACGCGCTGTGAGCTACTAGCCCGACAGTGGAAACGCGACATGATTTTGGCCTCATTTCTCAACCTCCCGGGCTATTGGCCTGGCCCGATTAAAGCCCTGGCTCGCACTGGCCCGATAGTGGAAATGCGGCTATTGAGTGCTTCGACTTTGCCCCCCCTGGTCCATTCCTTCATGAGCATAGACAGCCCTGACTGAGAAACAACCATCCACCATTAGAGTTTCACACCATTTTTTAATAATTGATAATTCAGTGACTATGAGACATTCTAACCATGGAGTTTTAGATGCACAAATGATCAATGTAGTCTTAACACAACTTTTATTCCTAATGAAATACAGAGCTGTGCAGTTGTTATGACATATATTGGATTCATTTTAATAACCTTAATATACCTAAAACTGAAAATATAGACATCGATTTGCCACTCAATTTTATTTATTTTTTTATATGACAGGGACAATGGAAAAATCAAAGAACTGCCCCACAATTAGCTGCATAGCTAAATTTTATCTGCAGTCCCTTGGCAGAAAATACAAATCATCATAAAATAAATTATGTCAAGATTTAAATTATAACCCTCCAATTAATGGTCACACACCTGACACACTTCAACCAGGATTTCAACTGCATGAGCACAGACGGCCCTGATTGAGAAACAACCATCCGCCATTAGAGATTTCACACCATATTTGGCGACGATAATGTCAGTGACTTTGAGGCATCTCAAAGGCATCTAATTTCCTCTTTAGATGCACAAATGAACAATTCAGTCCTAATGTAACTTTTATTCTTAATGCAACCCATTAAAAAGAAATAGTGTCACAATAACTACATTATAAACAATCATTATTAAAAAATGAAATTATGTTGTTTGTTGCATATAGTTAACTATTTATGTGAAGTGGGTAAATGGTGTGTTTCAATCCGGCTACCAATTCCTTTGAAGTCTCTTTTAACTAAATCTATCATCTCATAAAATTAAACGTATTATTATTATTATTATAAATAATATTGAGTAATTGTCCATGGGTGAGTTTAGTGTGTCTGATACGAAATCTGGCACACAAAACCTCATCATTGAGTTCAAATAATTATTAGATTTTTTACCTACCAAGGGCAGGTTTTCAGAGCATTAATTCCATTCTACTTCTAGAGATTTTATATCGCCATTTTACATGCGATGAAAACATCCAATTTAATTTGTCAATTGATTTAGTGAACATAAAATAAACAGATGATAGCAATAAGACGTATTAGAATGGTGTAAAGATGCTTAATCAAAGGTTTAGTGAGATTTTGTTGGTCTAGATGTTGACCGACTGAGACAAACACTACATCAGTGGAATCAGTCAATGTCGTCATTAGTTATGTATTATTTACAGTAGAAAGTGGCAGCACATTTCACTATCAGCAATGTACATTTGATTAATGCAACTCCGCAGATAACCTGGCAATATTCTGTTTATGATGCAGCTTCAGAACTGCACATCGTCTTAAAGATAAAGTGGTTCAATTACTGTGCTCAAACTATAAAATAAATAGTAGAAAACTATATAACAGGGCACTAAAGTGTCTTTTTCCCCCTCAGTGTAGCTAAATTTATTTAGAGGTCACAATGATGCCATTCCGGGTATGAAAAAATGTTATTTATGCTAACTATTTAACATAACAGATTGCCTATTTTGTTTGTGATTCAGCCAAGAGCAGAGAATGATTTTCTTTTGGCCTGTTGATAACTGATTTAAATTAAGCTGCATTCACATTGCAGATCTTGATGGTCAATTCTGAATTCTGTATCCACTTTATTTGATGACCTGCTTATATAATCTTTTAGAACTGACTTGTATCTGATGTCTGCATTTACAATGTTTTTTTTTTGTCTTTTTGACAAGTTCTGCTATAGTTTATGACAGAAAAGTTCCCATTACGCAAAGATCTATTTTATAAGGGGTTTAAATGCAGGCATGTGGCAACAGTATGCATATACCCAGCTTCTAATGGTAATAATGTATTCTATTTTTTTATAATCAAACTTCATAAAAACAGTCATCAGAGAGGGAAGTCCACCCAGTAGTGATCTTTGTTTCATGAGCATTTTTTTAAAGTTCCCAGGTTCTGCAGGTTGCAATGCCTTGAATTTTGCTTGCCAATCTTAAGCCAATTATAATTGTTTGTTTTGGTTCAATTTGGAATTTCCCCAAACAGCGCAGAGCCCGGGAGACCAGAGTGAGTGCTCTGATTTGGCCCCCCCGGTCCATTCCTTTATGAGCATAGACAGCTCTGACTGAAAAACAACCATCCGCCATTAGAGTTTTCACATCATATTTGCCGAAGATCATGTCAGTGACTATGAGGCAGTCAAACCTTTGAGTGTTAGATGCACAAATGAACAATCGTCTTAATGCGGACTTTTATTCTAAATGCAAATGCAGGCATTGAATTGGCACTCATTTTTTTTTTTTTATTTGACAGGGACAATGGACAACCAAAGAACTGCCCCAGAATAAGCTGCATGGCTAAATTTAATCTGCAGTCCCTGGACAAAAAGTCCTGGTCACAGTCCTGAGACATTTTTAACCAGCATTTCATCTGTAGCTTGAATTGTCCTGAGGCAAGACTCCGTCAAATGTTGATTGGTAGATTACTTCAATCAGTAACAACTTTTACAGAAAAAGCAGAATGATTAACGTCATTGACTCTACAAGTCGATCACACTTTATTTTGATGGTCCGTTTTTTGAATTTAACTACATAGCATCTACATGCTAACTAATACTTATAATTAGATTATAAGTAGACTGTTAGGTAGGGGTAAGGGTTGGGTTTAAGATTACGGTTAGTGTAAGTTGAAATGTACTTGCAAAGTTTCTTATAGTCAGAAAAATGTCTGTTGAAGGAGCAGTATCAACAGATATTAATCAGACCATCTACTAATACTCAAATGGACCATCAAAATAAAGTGTTACCAACAAGTCTTTACACAATCACCTCTTTACGAAGCTCTAGTTTGTCTTATGTTGTCAGTACAAAGGCAAACTAAATCCTTCTGCGGCAAAGGTGCAAGATCATTAACCATTTTGTACATTAAACAACTGTAAGACATAACAATATTACATAATAATATTAAATTACTCTGATTGGGTTGAGGTCACAAAAAAAATCTTAAATCGCGACACGTTACCGTTTTACTTTAGTTTCAGTCTGTTAGCTTTGAATGAATTTGAATTTAAGAATAAATGTTTGTAAACGATAAAACTAACTGTAAATGATCTGAATTAAAAGATTTGGGAAAATCTAATTTATAATAAACCTAGCTGAAGAAAGTGATTGTAGTACAATATGCATTAAGAAAAAAAGAAAAAAAAAAACACTCACCTAAATCTTCCGATTCTACGTAAGTGAGAAAACATCTCTCCTCCAGGAACATACTCCATTACCATATACAGGTTAGTATTATCCTGAGCAGAAAACACATAAGAAAACCAGTGAGATACACAAATACTAGTCTAAGCCTCAGTTCCTAATGTTGTCATGAAACTGGAATTCAATAACAATTGGTACTGAAATTTTAAAAACGTCCATTTCCCAGTAACATTTGAGCACCACGTTTTTAGTGCTGATTTGCCATTGTTCAAATGCTCAACAGAAATGAATGTGATTGGCTGTGAAGGTCATCAGTTTACCTAAGCAAATGGACATTTTTATAATTTCAGGACCGATTGGTATTGAATTCCAGTATTGTGACAACACTACGAGTGTCTGTTAGATTTTGTAATATTTTTTGATGGAAGGGTCTTCTGTTCACCATGGCTGCTTTCATTTGATCAAAATACAGTAAAAACAACAATAGGTTGAAATATTACTACTATTTATTATAGTTATCTGTTTGAATAGAGAAAATGTTATTTATTTCTATGGTGGCACAAATGAATTTCCATTACTCTGGTCTTTTGATCAATGAATGCTATCGTGACGGCATAGTTCAGTAGTTCAGCAAAAAAAAAAAATGCACTAATCACAATGAAGTGTTTTCAAACATTTCTTTGTTTCTCTCTTCTCTTGAACACAAACTCAGTATTTTAAAGAACCTTGAAAACCTGTAGCCATTGACATTCATTCATTAAAAAAAAAAAATGAAAAAAAAAAGAAAACCTTGGAGGTCCATGGAAGTCTAAATATCATCTTTTGTGTTCTACAAAAAAAAGAAATTCAAACAGGTTTAGTAAAAAAGTAGATGATGAAATAATATTTTTTTATTTTTGTTAAACAATCTCTTTAAAGGGCCACGAAATCCCTGTCTCACCTCTAGCTTGAAAAAAGCCAGTTAAGTGGGTGATTCTGGCTTTGTTTAGGTGGGAGTGTCGAGTGGCAAAAGAGGGAAGGGTTTGATGAAAAGGGGAGTTTCATTATGTGCACGTGCTGATTTTCACAGAGGCAACACAAACACAGTGGAGATAGACAGTGACTACGTTTACATGGACATCAGAAATCTAACTATTTGCCTTGATATTAATAAGGCCCCGTTTACACTAACACTTTTTAGTTTGGAAATGCTTAAGTATTGCTACGGTTATGCCATCCGTCTACACTACGCCGGAGTTTTCGAGCGCTGTAAACGGAGCAGTTGAAAATGCTGGAGAAGCAGGTTTTATTTTAAAACGCTGCTGCTCCATCTCATTGTGGGTGGGGGAAAACGGAGACATCTGAAAATGGAGGCGGGGCTGCAGATATATCTCATTGGGGCTTTTTCCTCAATATTAAGTAGCCTACACACACTTCAGTCCAGCATCCTCTCCTTGTAAGTTCAGACTTCGCAAGTTTAATATGGAAAACAAACTCCAGAGGACACATGCAGTACTGCTTTCATAGTGGGAAAATGGAAACAAAAACTTTGTTGCGGCACATTTATAAACGCAACACTGACAACCCATGTCTCCAAACAATTCCTCTACTACTTGTTTTAATTATCGTTGGTACATGGCATCGTTAACATGGCATCTCTCTGCTGTCTAAACAGCGTAACAGGTAAAAACAAAGCTATCATGCTTATTTATGAAGTTGCACCTCATTCACAATAGAGCACGCTGATTGGTTTGAATCAACTAATTAGATTAACAAATTAACTAATTAATTCAGATGAACGAATTTGCTCGAAATAGCGCAAAAACAACCAATTTTTACTTTTTTGTGAAATATGTGTCCTAATAGTGTTTTTAGCAGAATGGGACACATATATGACTGTCAACATCTCCAAAAATGTGTTTTGGTTTTTCGTGACCCTTTAAGAACTCCTTTTGACACAAAATCGTGTGACCAAACATACAAGCATATTAAAAGCAACGCATAAGTGCTGGTACCTTGAAAGAATGCTCCAATCGCACAAGAAAGGGGAAGCTGACAGCCTGCAGGATGCGTTTCTCATTCAGTGTGTGTTCTATCTGTTTCAGCTTCACCACCTGAGAGACAAGAGAAAATGAGCTCCAATACACACACGCACACACATACACAAACACAAACACACTATTCATCAGCAGTTCCTCTGAGAGCTATATACCTTCTGTTTGTCGAGGATCTTCATGGCAAAATGCTGGCCTGATTCTTTGTGCTTGACTAGCATGACTCGTCCAAAGGAGCCGGTGCCCAGCGTCTTCAACCGCTCAAAATGGTCCAGAGACGCAGTGTTCTGAACGGTGAGAGAAATAAAGAGTTAGTACTTCTTTATTATTCTACGTTCACAGTATTTTTACTCCACTAATGAAAGTCAATTAGGATTAAAGTCTCTCCAAAAAGCATAAACATACAGCTAAATGTTGTTATTTTATATTTGCATATTGGATGTAGTTCGCTAAAGACTAGTTCACACTACATGACTTGTATATTATTATTTATTTATTGCCACATCAGCAACTTCTGGCTATTCCATGGCAAAATGGATATACATATATTACATCATTCATATTACAATAAAAAGCTACTTTGACAAATATATAAAATATAAATAGATCAAATTCACTCAAAAAGTTCTTCTTGGTGGTACCTTTTTAAAAATGTCCATCAAAGTACTCTCCTTATAAAAAATGTTGTCTAATAGAATTTAAACTTTTACATTCCAACAAAATATGTTTTATGGTAAGAGCAGCCTGGCATTAATAAAAATGTTTATTGTGCATAAAACGCATAATCTCAACACAAAAAATGCCTTCAGATTGAGATTGGCCCCTAAAGCTTGTGTTAAATTAAAAGATATTTGCAAAGTTTTTGGGTCGGTAAATATATGGAGAATTCTTCATCCTAATGTTAGAGAATATACATTTTACTTTGCTCCGCATAAACTATATTCCAGAACTAATTATGTTTTGGTATCAAAGTCCCTCGTTTCTTGCTCTATTGGTATTATTTATTGTAATATCAGATGATGTTTGGGTCAATATGGAAATCATTCCACATCAGGTTAGCCAACATTGTTACAGATGGAGATGCAACACTTCATCACTTTTACATATACCATAATTTAAAGAAGCATTAAAGAAGTTATTTTAAGTTCTAATATTACTTTATTGTTATTGTATACATTATTATATAATGCATATAAATGTTCAATATGCATAGAAATATAAAATTATCAACTATCTAACAAAATATCAAGTATAAAAGTAGTGTAAAGAAAATGGTGTTAAAAGGTTAGTTTACCTCAAAATGAAGATTTACTCTCAAATTACTCATCCTCAAGTGGTTCCAAACGTTTACATTTTAACTAAAGTTTCTTCGTTCTGCTGAACACTAAATAAGATATTTTAGACAGCAGAAAACATGTAAACATTGATGTACACAGTAGGAAAACCAAATGCTATGCAAGTCACTGGTTGCAAACAGTTTTCCAGCATTCCTCCAAATGCTTTTTAGTGCTCAACAGAAGTAAAGAGGGAGCAATTAACAGAATCTTAAAATTGTGGGTGAACTATCCCCTTTAAAGAAAAAGAAAAAACAAATAATCGGCAGTTCAGTTCAGCTTGTGTCCAGAAGATGGCGTGACGGGAACTCAAATGAGCTCAATTGGCTGACAAAGTCACTGTGTGTGTGCGTATGTCTGTGTGCAGGGCAGAAAATGGGATTAACTGACCTGTGCTGGGTTCTCCCATTTCTTTAGGAAATCTTCTTTGGCTTTAGCGAGAAACTCCTTAACTGTACAAAGAGAGAGAGAGAGAGATAATGTGTGATTATGTGCGTAACAACTTGTGCCGTGCTGCATTTAGAAACATGCTAAAGTGCTAACACATCTGAAGAGGACAGAGCTTATTGAATCTGTTTAAATGTAAACAAGGAGGACAGAACAAAAACTGAGTGTAGAAGTGTAGAAACAGTTTGGTAGTCAACATTAACCTTTTACAAGTCCAGAGTTGCTTGTCTACCCTTATTTATGACAGCAACTTTTCATTTTAGTCAGCTCTGCAGTGTATAATCTGCTCAAATGACTGAGAACGACTGCTGAGAACTACTACTTTGGCCCACTGTGACGTAGAAAAAGAGGTTTTTGAAATATCAAAACAACAACACAACAAAAATGTGAGCAGTAACTATCATACAGGTGTCATTGTGCACAACATCTAGCAAAATCAAAATCTTACCAGGCATATTTAGATCATGAATTATTTGATGACATATTAAGACTCTTATTATCATTTAAAAACTATTTAATAATCAAAAAGCAGTGACAAAATTGTTGTTAGTTGTTATTTTAAATCTTTAAACTTTAACACTGTGCTTCTAATCACTGTATTACCTTTTTTTTCCAAGTAGTTGCATATATTTAAAACGTAATGTATTGTATTATGATTCATTGAAATAAATAGTTCAGAATAAGCAGATTTAATTTTTAGACTTATCCAATACACTGGATAACAATTGATCATTATTTCACAGAAAATTTTACCTTTGCACAAGTTATACTTGAAATACTATAGCAAACACTTCCCTTGCACGTAAACACCTTCATTAAATGATGCAACAATGGGGGAAAAGCGTTTGCTTTGGAAACATGATTGACTGACTGATTTTTTTTTGGAAAGACTAAACATACTTTAATTACTTCAATGACTGCAACAATCAACATGACTTCACAGCAATTCGTAACTTTTTGATTTAGTGGCTAATTCAAATGAATGGGCCCCAGGCCCATTTCCTGAATCGTTCGAGAAGTGCGAGTGCTCTGAATCGGGCTCAGGCTCACTTTATCCGGTCCTGGCCCGGTTGGAAGAGGTGTGCCATAGAGCGGTTCAAAGTGCACCTAAGCCCAAAACTAGACGAGACGTGACTTTTACGGGATTGTTTCATATGGATTGATTAATCATTTTTACTGTCAATGAATGCAAACTGTTGAAGATTATTAAAGAAACAAACCCCTCGCTGCACGACAGCTGCACCTTTAGCAAACCTCCTAATTCCTACAGCACGAGGACTTTATAATTGTTTATGAGCGTCAAAAGTGGCTGATCTGTTCGGCGAAATATTTGACTCTATGTCACTGCATCCCAAACAACTAAAACAAAATAACAAAGGAAATCTCCACTGTGCTGAGCAAGAGCGCCTACTGAACAGCGCATCATCGATGGCATAATCGTGCCCAGGCCTGAATATAATGTGAGTGCGGGCGGTCGGGGGAGACGGGAGGGGGGACAAGCATGCTTCTGCCCGGTTCAAGGCAACTGTACATAATGTGAGTATGTTCTCATTGCTAAAATTTAGAACAATTTGCTTATTCTCCAATGACGGTTGGGTTTAGGAATGGGGTTGGGTGCCACACCTCCTTTTTAAAATCTTATATTTTTGTAAGAATGAACTCGTACAAACTTATCAAAAGACTTACTAAAGACTTAGCTACTAAACTGACAAAATGTAAAATAGTTAAGTTTTCTTGTGAAATCGGGTTGGCAACAATATATTTATGAGGGCTAGGACGGTTCACAAAATGATCAGTACGGTTTGTATCATGATTCTGTGGTCAATTTGCTTAACATTGTAAAAAAAAAAAAAAAAAATCCCATATTGTAAAACTTAAATACTATTTAGAAACACCATACACATCAAATACAATCTTATTAACGACCATTTCTAGTAATTTTTAAAGTTATTTTTAAGTCTGTATTTTAGGCTTTTAATTAAGTTTTTTCTTGTTGATTAATGCTAATTACTACAGTGGGCTATTTTTGGCTTCTGTCATTTAAATTCTTCCACTAAAGTGTACTCTCTCTGTACAATTTATCATGCATTTGCAATAGTCACATTGCAACATCTGAAACATCGAGTTGGGATTATTATAGATGAACAGCAATGAAGAATAGTACAGTGTTTACATTTTACATTACATTCCACTATTCAATAATAGGGGCAGGTCAAAATATCAATATCCATGACGTGGAGCTTCTTGTAATGACGGATCGAATATATGTCAATGTTGCAATTCTAAGAAATATATGTGCTTTTAATAAAACAACTTTTTGATGTATTTTCCCCTCTTCATTTACAAATTTCATGATATATTGTGGATAGTGTTGTTGTGATATCGTGATCCATCATTATCGGCAGATAATAATATGATAATATCATATCGTATTACTGTATCTGAATATCTGACTGCTTATTTCATATTTGTCTTTGTAAATCTTATTTATTTATTCTTGCAATTTTCACTCCTCTCCAAGATTATTACAAAGTTAGTGATTTTATTCCAAATAGAGCGTTTAGAGTCATCTGTTAAAATTGTATTCATATCACAATAGAAATCACAGCAAAATACAATATCGTAATGTAAAATTTTTCTAATATCGTGCCGTCCTACTTTAGACTCAGACTTAGCGGACTGTTAAATATGGGTTATCTGACATTAGATAGAACATGTAAAAAAAAAGAAAAAAAAGAAGAAGAAAAAAAAGGTTTGAGCTAGGGCTGGGCGATTTTTCCGATTTGTTCGATTAATTCGAGTTTACGTTTTAAGACGATTTAATTTTGAATTAAATCAAGAAATCGTGATTTTCTTAAAAATATATATTTAATACATTATAATGGCACCAATGCGCTTTGGTTCACTCTCTGTATGAAGCAGGAAGCACACCAGAAGTGCCTCTCGGCCACGCGCAGCACAGCACCACACAGCGCCATGGATTTTAGAATTCTAAACAGGTTTCTATACACACACCGGCCCAGCCACGATTCATGAAGCAGTTCATATTTCAGCCCGTCCACAGAGCGCCATCGTATTATTTTCATGTTAAACATCATGCGAATGTGCGCGTTTGGTGTGTGATAGTTTAAACTTTCATGTCTGCGCCGTGTCGCGGCGCTTCTGGTGTGCGACCTGCTTGACTGCCTGTTAAAGCGTGAAGTCATGTAGGATTTTACTTGTTGCACGTCCGTGTGGATTGTCAAGACATTCCCTCATCAAGTCGATAAACTCGATCTCAACATGTATGAAGGACGTAAAAGCCTGCCATGTGAAAAACCGTGCCGATCTTTTGGTTTGAATACGAGTAGAGGTGAGGGCCAGTAGCAGTGAAAATGAAAGTACTCGCCCCATGACGTCATTTAGCGGACCTAGTTGAAAACCAGACAAATCAGGCAGCATAATACAGAGAGTGGAGCAAAGTGCATCAAATGATCGGTATTTAAAGGGGGAAAAGAAAAATAGATAAAATATATAATTTTATATTAGACACACATCTGGTGCTTGTATTTGCTCCTGCTATACGTCCACAACTTCACACATTGGGTTAAATTAGGCTTTACAGTTTCCATGTTCAGTCCTTTTCTTCCACTGTATCTTTTTAAGAAAAAGGCAGCAGCATTACAACCTGTCATTTAATCAGAAAGCAAAGTTAAAGCCGAGCTGACAGCCAATCTTTCCTAGGCTCAGCAAAACTTGCAAAAATACCTCTGTATTCCTGCAAGTGCAATATTTACACAAATATTTCTTATTCAAATCTTCAGCAGCGCTATTTAACTCGTGAATTTGTTTTACATTTATTTTCACCTTGACCGATTTTTTTTTTACATGCCCATTAAAAATACAATGTTCCTTAACCAGATGGTTTTTCAAGTTACTTTCAGTCATGTTGTTGTAATGTTTTAAGAAGACTAGTTACACAATAAAAAAGTTACAAAAAAAAAAAAAAAAATCGAAATCGTGAATCAGTCTTTTATCAAACTTTATAAAAAACCTAGATTTTTTTTTTTTTGCTAAATCGCCCAGCCCTAATTTGAGCACAAGCTTAAGTATTGAGTTTCTGAAGCGTCTTGATTTGGAATCTTTTAACAGATATAACCCAAAGCATGCGATTTAGCAGCATTAACTGTGAAGGAGACACTGTAAACTCTGGAAAAATTATAGTTAAACTGTGACGGATCAAAATAGACTGCGGTGGATTGGAACCATAGTAACACGCCAACAAACTGCTTCAAGCAGCAGGAATGTGCCAGCGATGAATGAGTGGTCACTGAAATTATTAAAAATAAATAATGTGTGAACTGACCAATATGTTTCCTGAACAGATGCATACCTAATAATTACCATACATAAGCTGGCCTGAAAGCCGAAGTATGTGATTTTCATCACTAGAGGGCATATATTCACAATAAACAAAGGTGAAGTTTTATTACACTATGGCTGCGTCTGAAATCGCATACTTCCACACCAAAATCAGTATGCGAGCCAAGTAGTATGTCTGAATTCATAGAATTCAAGTTTTATTTATTTATTCATTAACTAAATAACTAAATAACTTTTGTGAATGAAACTGCACAACCCAAGAGGAATAATGTTCATCAAGAGGATAAGAGCTGGCTAACAATAGAAGAGATATTTGACGTTTTTTGCATTTATGAGGGAAAAGTTTTTTATGGATGTGACGTCTCTCTGTTATGGATGTGACATGTGAAATTGTCACTTGTTTGATTTTGGTAAATCAAATATAATAGTTTGAAAACATTAACAGCGAAAACTTATTTTTTTTATGGCAAGGTTTACATTTGCATGGAATTGCTCAAATACAGCAATGAACAAAAATTCAAAAAGATAAATGAAATAAAAAATAATTTAAAAAACACACAAAACAAAATGGAAGAAATTTACAAGACACAAAAAACGTATAGCTTCATTATAGCTTACAATAGACAGAGCTTTTACATTTTTCACAGCTTTGAGAGACAGAATAACTTAATAATTAACAGATTAACAGAATAAGTTTGTTTGCAAAAACCTTGTATAAAAGAGTTAATTACAATTAACTAATTACTTTTATTACAATTAACAATTAATCACCATTTTCACAATAACAAATCATTTCTTTTGCATTCAGTGTTATCAATATATTATTTTTAGCAGAATAATTAGTCTTTCCAAAATAATTGCAAACTCAATAAAAGAGTGACATAAGGATCCCTCACTGTTTTTAAAAAAAGATCATTCTTTCTTAATTTCTGAAAATTTGGAATGTATCCCATTGAATGGCCATATTTTATGCAAAATCTTTAGATGAATTTCCTTTATTTGAAATGCAAAATTTGTATAGCAGCAGACATGCTTTTTACGAATTAACCTTCCATAATAAAGAATTCTAATAAAATTCCCTCTTGAAATAAGTCTGATTTTATCATTAAATACTTGCCTAATGTCTTTGTTGGTACATTTTTTGTCAAATTAATTTTTACCCTTTATCAGGAAATTACCTTATTTTCTATCTTTTAACAGGTCAAATGACTGCACATAAAATTAACGAGTCCCAAGGGGATAGCTTTGATTACTGTAGAAAATTCTTTACATTTAAAAGGAAAATAGAACTTAAATAAAAATGATTCATATGAATAGATCCTTAAAGATGAATCAAACAAATCACTTACATATACCAATTCAGGTTTCAACCATTTCTCCAAACATAAACTCTTTCCTTAAACAGTAATTAATTTGTTATTCCAAAGTTTCCAAGCCAAGAGTGCTTACTCTTGAAATGAATTTGAAAATCAGTATGCAAGAGGTACCTGGATGACCTACTACAGTAAGATTCTGAAACGCGCATCGAATGGATGCTATGCTATCCCATGATGCTTCATGAGAGAATTCATAAATGGGAGAGGCGACAAAAGTCACGTGGGTACGTCACATGCTCATGACAAAATGGAGTTCCATTCATACTGCTCACAATATACTGTATGGAATGTATTTTTCCAATGGCCAATAGTACGTTTAAATTCAAACGCAGTACCTCCTGAGTAGGCGATTTCGAACGGAGCCCATGATTAAGTGTGAATCCATGTAAGTTGTTGACTTCAAAATAGACCTGCAGAATTCATATTCATGGATGAGCAAAAGTAAAGCAGAGTAAAGCTGAAAGCCATCGAAGTAAAACGGGAGTGCAAATGCTGATGTGAGACAAGTGTGACATGCCATCAAAAGCAGCTAAGGCTTTATTATGCCACAGTCCACAACTTTTGGTGTTTCGATTGTGATTATGGAGAAGAAGCAGCACTGTTGTCACACTAAATATCTTTTAGGCTTCTGTTTTAACGCAGCTTTGTGCCGTTTAATGAAAGATATTAGATATTTGCATTTGAAAAAGTTCTCTACCTAAAACCTCCATATAAAAAAATAATAATAATAAAATAAAAAAGAGACATGTGTATTGGCCACTTCCGTTTTCCATCATGTTGGTTGTGTGTCCAGAGCCTGTGGCAAATCAATCTCATTGCCTGTTCGCCGTATGGCCTGTTCTAATTTCCATTGTTGTTAAAACCACATCGACTGAGCATGTTATCTAATACTTCCCGAGCTCACCATGACTGAACAAGAGCTCAAATCAATATCTACTGACTCCCTCTCGCTTCATTTCGGACTCGCTCCCTGTGTGTATGTGAGAAACAAAATATCACAGAAATGTAGGAAATATTAAGTAGGTAATTATGTGAGTGGACCAATTTAAGTGCGTGTAAATGTGCTGTGTGGGAACTTTCGGATCACAGGCACTTCCTCATTCCACACCACTAGAGCTTACACTGGGGACATGCAAGCTGTCGCAGCCACTGAAAAGACACAACTGTTGCGACTGCTGCACCCAGTGAAGACTTCCAAAGAAACAAGTGTGATAGCTGCCATTGACAAGTGTACTGAATGACACACCAAGACGAAGGATTCCCAAATTGCAATGCTGCTAAATCCAGAGTAGGGGCAATAAACAATCTCTCAGTGGTAAAAAAAAGGCAGACAACGTAGAGCGAGGTTAGTCACGCTCAAATCTACTGCCATTATCTCTGATCCGCAGGCTCTAGGCAGAGCTAGAGAGAGAGAACAAGAGCCTCACCCCACAACTTCCTGTCAATTCCCCTGCTTTATTATCTCAGAGAGAGATCCAGGAGTGTCTCTCTCACAGGCACACTGGTTGATGGGACAGCACACACTCTAGGGTCATATTTTGATTGCATTTAGATAATCTGTAGAGGAACTACAGAAGATAGATAGAGGCAGGGTAGAGGACAGCGTTCAAAGTTCAACTAAAATTGAAGCTGATCCAACGCACCATAAGCCAACAAAAGGTACTTCAAACGGATTCAAACAAAGGTCAGGCCTCGACTGCTACGCCGCAACAAACAACCCATATGAAAAGTGTAAAAATAGCTCTAGTGCAGTTTTATAAATGGCTCAGGATATGAATGATCCTTGCCTTTGTGCTGGCTTCCCTGACAAACGGGTGCCATGACTACCAGAGGGAAATAACCAGTTCCCACACAAAGTTAGCAGCGCTCTTACCGTCCACTAGGAGCGTGGGACCCTCCACTCCTCCTCCACTACCACTACCACCTCCTCCACCCCCTCCTCCTTCGGCTGATCCTCCTGAAGAACGAGATTCTCCTGAAGAACGAGATTCCCGCTTCCCACCATGCCTCCTGGAGCTTTTTCGGTCACACATGGGCCCTACTGAGACTGGTCTTCCTTCCACTCCTCACTGCATCAGGCTCATAGCCCTAGGCCTCTTCCTAAGAGGTCTGTATACACATGAACCTTACATCCACTTCAGCTCAAAGCTACAGGTGTACGTTCACAGCTGATTTGGTCTCCAAATGTGGCTGATGATTCAGTCTGCTGTTCCTGCTCTTTGTGGAGTGCCGAATGGGGATCTAAAGCCCTCGCAATTCTGCAGCTTCACTGTGCGGACATCACCCTGGTAAATCAATCGGACTCATGCTTCGTTTGTATCAATATTTATTCTGTACACAGTGCCATTCCACTCACCCTCAAGTGGAACACACACGCCTAAAACAAGCACATACACAAACATACGCACTAGATTGATCCAAATAGGGACCTGGTCGCCAAGGGGAGGGGCAAACCTATAACAGCAGTGTCACATCGACTGAAACAACAAACTGTAAGTGTTGCAGTTCATTCAGACTTGCATAATAAATGATAATCTATTTAAAATGGTGAAATTAGGAAAGACATTAAATACTGCATTTGAAGAACCAAAATGGACATAAAGAGGACAGCACAAAGTGCATTCCGACAGACCACAAAACTCTGACATTGTCCTCTAGTGGACAGAGTCCACGATTGATTAGTCAGATCAATCAGTGTGCCTCTCGGCTGTTGTTGCTCACTCTGACGCACAGCAAAGGGGGTCAGCTAGTGGTGCATCGACTGCGGGAGCCCCGCTAGTCTAAAACTAGACAAAACACACACACATATCAGACAACCATTTGTAGACAGTGCAGCCCCAGGCCTGGATTTCAGCCTCTTTCAGGGAATAAATGCAGTGACACAGCGAGAGTGAAGCAGAGCCACAGGAAGAGTCAGGGACAGATGGATTTAAAGACTGAGCCTGATCCAGCCACCTTGGCCAGGTGGAGACTCAAGGGACAGTGACACCTTTGGTAAGTCTCTCCCTCCTCCATGACCTCCTTTCTCAAGACTATAGGTGCTGCTTCTCTAGTCTAGGTATAATCTCTTTTCAGCTCTTAGATACTTGGCACGTTTCTATGTGCTGACTTTGTGGACGCGGAGTTGGATAAGTTAGGAAGTATTTACATAAACATTCATGTTCCCTGATGGAATTTTTAAGACGGGACTTATTACATATCAGAGATAGGAGAACAGTTGACTAAAGATAAATGCAGGAGGTGATAAACTAAGACTGATTTAACATACAGAGTCCATTTGTAAAACCTAGCACACCAAATCACTGCATCGCAACCAGCAAATTTCCAAAAATTATGGACAAAAAGATCATGTATCCTCCAAATGTGGATAAGTGCTGCATGAACGGGTAGTGTGGCAGTAGAATTAGTTCATAATTAAGACTGGCACGAACAGTAAAACACTGGGACCCCAACAAAGTGGGACACACTGACAGGTTTCCATGGGAGACAGACAGCCAGCTTCCATGGAACTCCTGTATGACGCAGCCAACACCAGGCAACACCACAAACATTAGAAAATGAATAAAAAAGGGCTTTGTACCAAAGATGTGTGTGTCAGCAGTCCCACATCAATCCATGAAGCACACCAAGAGGTGCTAATCTAAACTCAACTTCCATATCATCCATGACTTTAGTTTACAACATACCTTATTTTATGATGCCATTATGTAAAACATCTACAGTTTGTGGTCACCTAATTGTTTTAAAGGGTAAAATATCCAGGGAAATCAAAACAATAACATATGCTATATATTGGTAATGACAGCAACTTCCTGAAATAAAGTTTTGTATTTATCATCAACATTTACATCTGTAAAAAGGAAGAATTGATTATGCTCTATTGTCAAAGGCTCAAACGAGTGAATAAAAGCTTATCAGGTGACCACTATGTATAATCAAAGGTAAAATACTTCAAATAAGAATCAGCTGATCACACACATTCAGGACCAAGGCAAGAACTTCCCTATAGAGGAGATGGGAAGGTTTAACGTTTACACATGCAGTTACTCCACCCCTTTTCTAAGCACCGCCTTTCACATTCATGTCCAAACACTCACTGTGCCAGCAGTATTAACCCACATAAAGCCTCAGGTCAGTAACTCACTCCAGCAAGAGGCCTCTGGCTCATCCTGGGACTGGTAGTAGCTGCCCTCCCCACCGCTAGAGTCTCCGAGACAGAGACCAGCTCGCTGGATAAGCATGTCACCCAACCTCTGCAGCACTGACATGGTACTCAGCCGTGGCGTAAAGACATCCAACTTTGTATAGGTACGTTTCCAAGCCCTTTCCACAAAAATGAAGCTAGTGTCACTTCCTACGCAAAACTCTTCTGTATTGACCTCTCTGAGGTTTCAGTACTTGGGGAAGGCAGGGTTGAACCTTCTCTGTTTCCTTGCTTTCCTGCGCCGGGCTCACACACCCTGTTTCCTCCCGTGGGCTTCCTTGAACAGTAAGAGACTTCTGTTTTCACCACAGCCCACCTTAGCATTAACCCTTACTCTTTTTCCTTGATCTGATTCACAGCATTGTCTGCCATGTCGTCCTCTCTTGTCCGTGCATATGGTAAAAAAAAAAAAAAAAATGGCCCTCCCCGGCCCGTGCCCCCGGATGCCAGCCAGCACCTGTCTCTGGGGATCAGGGCAGTCCATCAGCCATGGAGCAGATAGGGATGTGAAGCATGTTGCGAACAATGTCCCCCCGTTTCGACCAGGGGAGGGAGTGCTAAAGCCCATGAAAAAAAAACACTCCATTTTTGCCACCGAATGTATCAAGCATATTCAAATGACATGCAGTCACATGCAAATAGAAATCGACTCTTCACACATAGATTCTAGCAGCAGCATGCCACTGAGATCCATTTCACACATATCTGTTTCACTGACACCAACTTTGCCTGATGGAGGCTAAGCTCGAAAGAGGCCATAAGAGGTTCTTGACTTTGAATGAAACTGTGCAGATATATGGAAGACAACTTTTACTTTTACAGTTTAAACTGGAGTAGTAAACTAATAACATGACTTGATATTTTATTGTTTACCAATATCAAGACTTATACCAATATCAAGACCTTCCAGTGCTTCCCACAGGTTTGAAATATACTTGTGGTGGTAGCCAGATTGAAACACATCTTTTACCCACGGCACATGGTATATGCAACAAAAAAGGGATTTTTAACAATATTTTTTTATTTTTATTTATTATACACAGTTTCTTTTCAATGGGTTGAATTTTTTTAGACTGCTAAAATAAAAAAAATTCCACTATTTGTTTTACTTTTATTTTATTCAGGAGCCATGTGCACCCACTGACAGGTAAAACCTGCTGCTGACATTTTGTACAGTATTGTCAAAGCATGTTAGATATTAGGGATGCTCAAAACAATCGATTAACCGTTAACCAAAAGGGTGCGTTTGTAACCGATTAATGCTATCAGTTAAACGATTAAAAATATTATTTTATATATTTTTAGTTTGGCTGCATAAGGGGCCGATTAAATGCGCCTTTGCGTTAAGAGGGGGCATCTTTTGCACGCGCGGCTCATCCCAGAGCAGCAGTTTGTGTTGTCAAGACAACTACAGAGATCTTTTAAAAAGCATGGTTTCCGCTACATTCATTCTTCAATGGCGGGACCAAAATGCATCAATCCACGGCTACATTACCCTTTCAAAACATTCAGTCATTGTTGTTGTTTTTAATAGCGGATTATAAATACACCGAAAGGTATTAAAAGGTAAGTGAATTTTAACAGCGCAAACTTTTCTGTAACCATATATAGTGCTGTGCGCTATCTGTTGGCGTTACATGCTGACTGACTGACAGGTGCGCGATGCGTGAGGCCAGCAAACTCGATGAAGCTTTCAGTTAAGATGAACACGGTTTCTATAGCTATACTTTATTTATAGATAAAGGTATATGGCTCTGCATATAATCACTCTATCTTGCTGGAGTTTATAGCCGTTTCGCTTTACTTCAGGACGCATTAATGCCGCTCTGAAGGTCTAATCGCTGTTTTAAGTTATCCAGAGCTGTATGAATGTACAAATCTTGAATATCACAATAGTATTAAATATTACAATTGTAGCAACACGGACAGCAACACTTTTGCACAATAGATACCCAGCTGATTCAGTCGTATTATAAGAGGACTGCGCTTCCTTTCTTCTTTTTTCCTTGTCAACATAAAGGCAGTGAGGTGCGCGTTTTCTGCCCTAATGCCATTTCGGCTGATGTTGACCTGGATCTGCGTAATAAACGCAACAAATAGGCTTTACCTTTTATTTTACAGATTATAAAGCATGTATGCACATTAATGCAATATCATATTTAAACAACAACACTGTTTACAAAAAGTCAACATATGCGCACGTTGTTGTCTTTTCATCACGCAGCGCGCACTTAACCACGAGGGAAAGAGAGAAAACCATATAGCAAGACATAATCTTTAAAATAATGATTTCTATTAAAAATGTAAAAGGTTTTGTGATTATAATAATACAAGCGGGGCATTAAATAAATGCAAATTTTCTGTGGAGCGGGCAATTTGAGGAAGTCAGCTATTTTTATTTGAAGGAAGAAAAAAACAAATAATTGAAAAAAAAACAGCCTATGCCGGTTATTAAAAAGAATCAGTCAGTATTTTCGTTTTGTAATATAAATAAATTATTTAAGTGAAAATAATTTAGGGCGGTCCTATTTATTTTATTCATTTTATTTAGTTTATTCTGTTCTTCTGTGCTAAACAATGCATGTGCGTGAAAATGCTCTGTTGTTATGTTCTATTATTAATATGCTAGCATATAAAAATAAATCAGTGTTTTAAAATGCAATATTTAATGTGCCGGACACAAAATAGACACGTCAATTTGTTTAATATAAAATTAATAGTAATCTGACCAGTTAACCGTTAATAACCGATTAATGAGCGGCGGTTGTCGGTTAGCAAAATTAACCGAAATGAGCATCCCTATTAGATATGTTAAAATATGTAATATATCAACATCAAATTATGAAAATATATACAGCAATTGAGAATAAATGACAAAGGAATAAAAACAGACAATTTCTCTAAAAAGTGTAAAATTACAAGAATACAAAGTGTAGATTATTTAACTAAGGCTAATGAGGGAATTAACAATTTCTAATGGTGTACAAATATTTTGCAGCCAGTTTAGATTTTATCCTCTCCCAGTACATAAGTTTATCCAAGTCATTTAGATCAAAGAATGAACTATATAATGTTTCTTGCGGTCTTGCGAAGCCAAGTGAAAGTAAATCAGGCTTAAAATAACAATGACAATGGCTTAGAAAGCGAAACCAAAAGCCGAATCCCAGACATACTAGGAGCTTTAGAAACCCCCGACGGACACATTTTTAAGTCTGAAAAAGGCGCATCTCTATTGGTCTCTGCACTCTTTCTAGTTCTCTTTTTACTGTTATTTTTAGGCACTGCATGTTTTAACTTCAGTTGTTCAACTAGGGTTGGGCGATTTGGCCTAAATTCAAAATCTCGATAAATTTAAAGTTTTAACTCAATTACAATTGAGGAGTGATTAAATTGCCCTCATAGTTCACTGACAGGTTTTGTACAGTAAATGTTCACATATTACAAGTTAAGATTTTTTGAATGTAGGGTGCAGAACTTAATTTTAAAATAACTGAAACAAATACACACTATCTACTATCTACAAATATTTACTGAACAGCAACATCGAACAACGGAAATTAAAACGCACATTGCCTAAAACCAACAGTCACTTTTTTGTGAAAGTGAAAAGAAATTAACTTGCACTTTTATATGTTTTTCATATTAAAAGTACAAAATAAGCAGTATCTCATCTAAATTAAATAACTCTTGCACATCCTGTGAATAATATTTTAAACCGTGCATTTCTTGCATCTTCTGTAAACAAATGTTTTAATTAAAAAAATGTTTTGATGTAATGGATAATATGTCC